CCCCCAAATATGGACTAGTGCCTGAAACACAGTAGCATTAAATAAACATTAATCGAATGGATAATGAATTCTAACTAAAGCTTTCCAATTAGAGGAGAATCTCAGCTCCTTGGAGGCCATAACCTCAGTGTGGAGCCTTCCCAATGTCTATTGATCCTGTTCCTAGAAAGAACATCCTGAAAGCCAATGTAAGCCTTTGAGAACATTTGACTACTTCCCTTTAATGCAGGCATAAGCTCCTACTTACCTGAAAGCCTCCCTGGGAGGCCCATAATTAACTTCCCTAAGGCAGCCTATATTACATGTCTTTCAAAAAAAAAAACAACTCTGCTCTCCTTAAATTTCTTCCCAGGTCATAATATATTTTTAAAAATAGTTTATTACCTTAAATAGAATAATCCTGAATCTTAAATCCTGACTTTTCCCTTTTAGTAACTCATCACCAAAGCATATATGACAGGTCAGTGAGAGTCAGAGCAACTTTATATATAATGGGAATAGAGATAAAGACGGGTTCAAGCCAGGTACTTCCAGCAAATATCCATTTCCCCTAACTACTTGTAAATCTCAAAAACATTGATATTTGTGAATCTTTTCCTCATTCTGATGCAAAACACAGCATTTCCCCCAAAGCTTCCCTTCTGCTTATTCCTGAATAACATTGTTGTTTTTAAGAAATGTATTGTAACAAAGGTCAAGAGAAAATAAGAGATTAGGCATTAGCTCAGGGAGAAACTAGGCTATTATGCTCTGGTAAAATGAAACAGAGGCACTCTATATAGCAAATTGTGACAGGAAATAGTGCTGAGCTTTAGCATTACTTATATATGCTTTATATGCATGACCTTCAAATGGCAGTAATAAATATCACTTTTCTTGTTGATATATATTGACTCCTCTGTGCTGGTGGGAATTTCAAGACCATTTGGAATTGATAACTACCAGCTGTGACTTATTAGGAGGCTACATGCCCCTCAGCATGTATGGTTTGTTGGGTAACTCTTGTTCTTATCCACCTGCTAATTCTATGTCCGGGCTTTCAAAGCAAATATGGATCAAAGAAGATTTCTGTCAGCACTTCATCACTTTAGACCTCACTCCAAAGGTGCAGCTGAATGGTACAATGGCTTCTGATAGTGAGCTATGAGCAATGATATTTAGTTGGCCACATCCTTATTAATGGTTAGCAACTATTTATCAGTGAGCATATGGTACTAGGGGTCCCATCCCTTTGAGTACTGTAATAATTCAGAACAATTATAAGGCTCCATGCTGTGCGTCATTTTATAGGTAAGGCATTTTACTACTGATATTTCTCTAGAGTAACATTTCTTTGTAGAATTCAAGACTGATGTTGTTTAGGATTGATGGATTCTCTGACTCAACTTAATTATGATGACTAACTTCCATGATATCATAGATCAGCCATAAAAATATAAAGCAGCTTACTTAGATCAAATATGAAAGTAAATAAATGGAACCCTAATGATTTCCTGCTAATGAAAACTAGGCAGCTTAACTCTGGATTCTCTCTTTGAGTTTCTGCTTCTCTCATTTGATTTCATGGAAGATAAGCCTATTTTTCTTCTATTATTGATGATGGTTTTGTGATTGCAATAAAAAATAAAAGGAGGGAGCCCTGGCTGGCTTGACTCAGTAGATAGAGCATCAGCCTGCAGATTGAAGGGTCTAGGGTTTGATTCTGGTCAAGGGCATATGCCTGGGTTGTGGGCTTGATCCCCAGTAGGGGGTGTGCGAAAGTTAACTGATCAATGATTCTCTCTTATCATTGATGTTTCTATCTCTGTGTCCCTCTCCCTTCCTCTCTGAAATCAATACAAAATATATTAAATAAATAAATAAATAGATAGATAGATAGATAGCTAGATAGATAGATAAAAATAAAAGGAGGGAGAAGAAAAAAATGGATAAAATCCTTATAAAAAGAGGGATGGAATATTACCCTCTTTTTTACAGGGCATCAAAATAACATTTGAAACTGAAAAATTGTTCTTCTCCATAGAATAAGGTAAGGAAGGCAGTGTCAAATATTTGATTAACTGGCAGTGTACTTCATCAAAGGCATAGACCTCAGAAAACACTGTAAATTCAGTAAGTTTATCTTCATACTCACAGCCTATCTTTCACCTTTTTACTCCCTATAAAGTCCGTGTTTCAAATTTTCTCTTTGCATTTTGTTTTCTCCTGCTTTTACTGCCCTCCCCCATCAAAACCTGTTAAGCTTTTTCATTTCAAATCAGTTGTAGTTGACTGATAAGAGTGTGGCATATTCCCTTTTCCAGGAGATCTTTTACTAGTAAAGATTTTTAAAAAATTAAATGATACACATCTGGGAGTAAAGTTCATGTACCCAGCCAATAGTTGAAGAAAGACTAGACTGAATGAATATTGTTTTGATGCCCTGTAAAAGGAGGGTAACATTCCATCCCTATTGTTTATAGGGATTTTACCCACAGTGGGTATCAGTATCTGCCATGCTCTCTTGAAATTTTACCATAGAGTATAGTAGTATCTGACTCTAAGATGGCTTTGGTCAGAACAACAGAGTCTTCAAACAGATTCTTGAGGAAGTTTCCTTCTTTAAACATGTGATTGAGATGTTAGCTTGATCCATGTTATGTCCACTGCCAGAGTTCAGGTAAGTTAGGATGACTATAGTAAATAGATGAGTTAATTTGTATGGATGCTGAAGTAATAGGGAGGATTTTGTCAATGTTGTGCACAAGTTCTGGAGGAAATAAAGGGAAATGTGGATTCCAAAATAGTTTCTGGTGTCCCATCTGGTCTCAGGGATTAAAATTTGAGCCCCAATGGACTGCAAGACTTAAGCTATTTTTACAATTGAGGTAGAAAAAGATAAAAACACAAGCAATATTGCGTTAGTGCCCGGGTGTAAAAGTGATATAGACTGGGGTCAGAGAACATTCTTCCAATTTTTTCACAGTAGTTCTGACACAGTGAAACCAAAAGAAGACCTTAAGTGTTATTTTGACTTCTCACAAGTTTTGCTAATTTGAAGACCACAAGAAGAGATTACCCTAAGCAAAAATTCATGGTCCCACAAGATGGCATGACAGGAGTGATAGAAATAAATTGACATAGTCTTCTTGGGGAAGAGACACCAACAGAAGATCAGAAGTGGATGAATACAAAATACTATCAGTGAGCACAGCTGAGACATCTCCAGGGATTCTCCTCTATAAATTGGTGACAATTTGATAGAATCAAGACATCTTGAAATATGCACGTAGAAATAATAATACAGTGATATTGAGATTATTACAGTTCATGTGACCTCATTTGTAAACCACTGGCTGGAGAGGTCTGAGGTATTAATATTTCATAAACAAAGATGGCTCTACTGATTCAGAACTTTACAGGTGTATGCATCTCAATATTTTTTTTTCAGTAATAGAGATGACTTTCTGGTTAAGAATCCACAACCTATAAAAAATGTCCCTTTTAGTCAAGAGTACACATCTTTGTCATAGCTATGTTGGTGGAAAAGCAAAAAGCTTAGTGGCCCTTGTAAGAATCAAACCCATAGCCTTGACCTCATTAGTATATTCCAACTATCTGAGTTAACCTGCCATGATACTGGGAAATATTATCCTTCTAAATTCTAGATAAAATGATAAAGATAAGTTGGGTTGTGAAAAAAAATGAGAAGACTCTCTGAGTTAATGGCCTGAGGCCTAAAAATGTAATGTAAAATAAAGATAAATGTCTGCTCTGGGCAGGTATTAAAAACTGTACCCAGAGATAGAGTGGAAACTATACTCAGGGAATAAAAAATGTAACAAAATATGAGGTAAACAGATTTAATTAAAACACAAACCCTAAATCTATTTTCTGTGATTATCTGTTTATTATTAGGAGCTGATTAAACAGTAGCAGATGTCACTAATAAACAAATTCCATTACACATGTAAATTGTGTTAAAAAATAGAATAAAACCATGATGAGAACATTTCTACTGGACACTACTAGTTTCTATATGATTTGAAAGGAAAATTTTATATTAGATTTCTGAAAGTACAAAAATTGAACAGAAACTTAAGTCGCTTTTTGGGAAATTATAAAACCAAATGCGGTTGTCTTTTTCATTCATTCAGATGGATAAATATTTGTTAAGTGTAAATATGTGTGCAGCATTAAGAATCCTATATAATAAAAACATAATATGCAAATAGACTGAGTGGCAGAACAACCAGCAGAATGACCAGTTGCTATGATGTGAAATGACCACCAGGGGGCAGATGCTCAATACAGAAGCTGCATCTGCCTCACACAGCCCCGCTCTCGCCCAAGGAGGTGACCTGCAGCAATAATCGAGGGGTGGGGTCTGCCAGTGGGCGGCTCCAGGCTGCTAGCCAAGGAGGGTGTCAGCAGGGGGTCACCTGATCGCCCCACACACTGGTCACCCCATAGATGGCCCTGATTGCTTGCCAGACCTACGGACCCTACCCTATATATTGGGAATATTCTTAGATTTAAAAATTAAAACCTGGCAGGCTACTCTAACACTGAAAAAACAGGATGATGCAGTGATGACATGCACGGACTCTGGCCCTGATTCTGACACTTATAACTATGTGACAAAGCCAATTAGTTAACTTCTCTCTGCTTCAGTTTTTCTACCCATAAGATGGAGGAAATGGTACTACTGCCTCAGAAGGATCATGTTATATACTACTTTTTATAATCAGGGCAAATAAATGTAACTGCCCACACAATAGCAAGATGCTTTTCACCTATATGAAAAGTATGGTCATTGATGCATGCAATGTCCTGGATTGCAATGAGGGATGTCCAACTGCTGGTTTAGGCCCAGCATTCCCTGAGGGGTCCCAGATTGAGAAAGGACATAGGCTGGGCTAAAAGACCCCCACCCCCCATGCATAGATTTTGTGCACCGAGCTTCTAGTATGAAAATAGTTACTTAACCCAGTTGTCTTTTTCTTTAAAGAATAAAAAAGTCAAAAAAGTGAATGTGGATTAGAAGGAATTATACCCTTCTGGCCAGAATGGAAGTTGCTTCACCTAGACAACATTCTGAGAATAAAAACATTAGGACAGGAAGATTGTGAGATATGCCATTACTTGTTTCTTTGCTGTTGAGAACTACCTGTTCACAGTTAACACCCAAGTAGTCCTTATCATAAGCCAGGTAATACTAAGTCATTTGTATATGTTCACTTGCTATCAGAATCCTGCAAGATATGTACTGCTGTATCCCTATTTTATAGTAAGAGAAACTAAGACAAAAAATAGGTGACAAGACTTGCCCAAAATTATAAGACCAGTAATCAGTAGAACTAGGACTGGACTCCAGATATTTTTATATCAAAGTCTACACTTTTAATCACCACTCCATGCTACCTTTCAATACAGGTAATAGAAATATTTTGAATGTGAATCCTTAAATATTCAGGATTACTTGTCCAGTTCTAGTGAGCAAATAATTTTAAAAAGTACACCTATCAAATAAAAGGCAAAACACCCCAAATATAATGTATGCAAACTTCAGCTTCTGAAATAAATAAATAATAAATGCAGTGCAAATATTAACAAGTAAACAGTTTTATAGAGTTCACAGAAATTTCCCATGAAACATAACACATGCTTTTCCAGTCCCATGAACTATTCAAAAGTATATGAATTTCCAAATAGAACCTTTTGTATTGCAGGTTTGGGGGAAAGGCTAGTCTTCCTAACTCTTATACAGTTTTTAGCATTCAAATAAAACAAAATAAAAAAATAAAAATGGGACTACATAAAATTAAAGATGTGTGTTTTTTTCACAGAAAAAAGAACAAAAACAATAAAATAAAATAAAACAAAAATCCATCCACAAAATGAAAAAACAAACCACTGAATGGGAGAACATATTTGCCAATGATACATCTGATAAAGGGCTAATTTCAAAATAATATAAAGAAGTTAAACAAGGAACACTAGGAAGGAAACAATCCAATAAAAAAAATGGGCAAATGACCTGAATAGACATTTCTCCATAAAGGACATATAGGTGGCCAATTGATCTATGAAAAAATGTTCAATATCACTAATCACCAGAGAGATGCAAATTAAATCCATGATGAGATATCACCTCTAAACAGCCAGAATGGCTATCAGCAACAAGTAAACAATAACAGATGCTTGTGCAGATGTGAAGAAAAAGCAAACCTTGTGCACTATTGGTGGGAATGCAGATTGATACAGCCACTGTGAAAAGCAGTATGGAGATACCTTAAAAAAATAAAAAATGGAACTGCTTTATGACCCAGTCATTCCACTTCTGGAATATATCTGAAGAAAACCAAAATGCTAATTTAAAAGAATGTATGCAGCCCTATGTTCATTGCACTGTTATTTACAATAGCAAATATTTGGAAGCAGTCTGTATGTCCATCAGTAGATGAGTGGATAAAAAATCTGGGATATATTTTCAAAATGGAATACTACTTTGCTATAAAAAGGAAGAAAAATTTACCCTTTAGGACAGTATGGATTACCTGGAGAACATCATAGTAAGTGAAATAAATCAGTCAGAGAAAGACAAGTATCATATGAATTCAATGATATGTTGAATTTAATAAACAAACTGAAGTACCATGTAAAATAGAGACAGACTCATTAATAGAAAGTGGAAAGATAGTCCTTGGGTGAGGAGGATTGAGGGATGGAAGGATTGAACAAAAAAGGAAAGAGAGAGAGAGAGAGAGAGAGAGAGAGAGAGAGAGAGAGAGAGAGAGAGACATAGACAACAGTGTGGTGATTGTAGAGTGGGGTGAAGGTGATAGAGGGTATAAAGGGGATAAAAAGTGATGGAAAGCTGAAACTGGTTTGGCTCAGTGGATAGAGTGTCAGCCTGCGGACTGAAAGGTCCCAGGTTCGATTCCAGTCAAGGGCATGTACCTTGGTTGTGGGCACATCCCCGATAGGGGCTGTGCAGGAGGCAGCTGGTGGATGTTTCTCTCTCATTGATGTTTCTAACTCTCTATCTCTCTCCCTTCCTCTCTGTAAAAAATCAATAAAATATTTTAACAAAAAAAAGGTGATAGAAAAAAGAAAATCAAATTTTAAAAATAAAAATGCCTGGTTTTATTATGTAAAAGAATGAGCAGAAAGCTGTGCTCTTGTACTTGAGGAAAGAGGCTACTAAAAACATATAAAATAGCCAAGACCGGTTTGGCTCAATGGATAGAGCTTCGACTTGGGGACTGAAGGGTCCCAGGTTCGATTCCAGTCAAGGGCATGTACCTTGGTTGTGGGCACATCCCCGATAGGGGCTGTGCAGGAGGCAGCTGGTGGATGTTTCTCTCTCATTGATGTTTCTAACTCTCTATCTCTCTCCCTTCCTCTCTGTAAAAAATCAATAAAATATTTTAACAAAAAAAAGGTGATAGAAAAAAGAAAATCAAATTTTAAAAATAAAAATGCCTGGTTTTATTATGTAAAAGAATGAGCAGAAAGCTGTGCTCTTGTACTTGAGGAAAGAGGCTACTAAAAACATATAAAATAGCCAAGACCGGTTTGGCTCAATGGATAGAGCTTCGACTTGGGGACTGAAGGGTCCCAGGTTCGATTCCAGTCAAGGGCATGTACCTTGGTTGTGGGCACATCCCCGATAGGGGCTGTGCAGGAGGCAGCTGGTGGATGTTTCTCTCTCATTGATGTTTCTAACTCTCTATCTCTCTCCCTTCCTCTCTGTAAAAAATCAATAAAATATTTTAACAAAAAAAAGGTGATAGAAAAAAGAAAATCAAATTTTAAAAATAAAAATGCCTGGTTTTATTATGTAAAAGAATGAGCAGAAAGCTGTGCTCTTGTACTTGAGGAAAGAGGCTACTAAAAACATATAAAATAGCCAAGACCGGTTTGGCTCAATGGATAGAGCTTCGACTTGGGGACTGAAGGGTCCCAGGTTCGATTCCGGTCAAGGGCGTGTACCTTGGTTGTGGGCATATCCCCAATAGGGGGTGTGGAAGAGGAAGCTGATCGATGACTCTCTCTCATCGATGGTTCTAACTCTCTATCTCTCTCCCTTCCTCTCTGTACAAAATCAATAAAATATATTAAAAAAAGAAACATATAAAATAATAATGATAGTAATAAAATGTAAATGCCATCTCATCATTTCCATTCTTATTCTGATTTATTTTCTGTATTTGTTTCTGCAATATTTAGTTAGCAAATTAATTATTTCAAATGATTTTGATGTCTATAATATTTTCTTTTAAAAAATATATATATTTTATTGATTTTATACAGAGAGGAAGGGAGAGAGATAGAGAGTTAGAAACATCGATGAGAGAGAGTCATCGATCAGCTGCCTCTTGCACACCCCCTCCCGGGGATATGCCCACAACCAAGGTACACGCCCTTGACCAGAATCGAACCCGGGACCCTTCAGTCTCCAAGCCGACGCTCTATCCATTGAGCCAAACCGGTTTTGGCTGATGTCTATAATATTTTCATTAAACATTGATAATTGTGGCAAATAAAATAAAAATGAACAAAAATAATAACCTCTTCTAGAAAATAATTACCTTTTTAAGAAAATGGTAATTACCAAGCTATTCACTCATATATATATATCCTCAAATTTAAACAAAGTTGAGATTGTTATTATCACTTACTGTTTGTGTATTATAGTGTCTACCAATAGTGATTCCTATAGAAGACGGCAGCCAGCAGGATGGCAGTGAGGGAGAATGCAAGTGAGTGAGGGAGCAAAACGGGAGTGTGTGGACCTGTGATGTGTGTTTGTGTGTGTGTGTGTGTGTGTGTGTGTGTGTGTGTGTGTAACATCTAGATCTTGCTGAATTTTGGGGGCTAGAAGACGGGGCACACATAACCAGACAGCCTCTGCTAATGCTGTAATCTCTCCCAGAGTTCTTGCTCTCCCACAGAGGTCATACCATTTTGAAAGGGAGAGCTACTATGACTGGGAGCCCAGCCTCACCTCCACCCAGGGTGCTCTCAGACACCACCCAGGACCCTACAGCCACTCCAGCCAAGAACCTGATGCCTTGCCTAACCATGGACACCGAGACTCCAGATTCCCCATCTGAGGGCTCCTGTGAGTTTCAGAGGGCATTCCCTTCCTCCAGCCAGATGCCTTAGCCCAGGGCACAGCGACCATACACTTGCACACTCAGGAACAGCCGAGTCCTACTCAGCAGCTCCAGGCTCCAAGTCTTATTGCATGCACAGCCAAGCCTTACAGAGCAGCCTCGAGCTTGATGACTGCATGTATGAACAACCAAGCCTTACATACCAATCCTGAGCTTCAGGACAGAGCATGCTAACAGCCTAGCCTTACACAGCAGCCCCAAGTTCCACAACCTAGTACACAGACAATGAAGCCTTACACAGCAGTTCCATGCTCTTTGACCATGCACAAGAAGAGCCAAGTCTTATGCAGCAGCCCCAGGCACCACTAATGCTCCAGAAGCCACACAAGCAGCCACTGCCCATAATCACCTGAGGAGCAGGTGACTGCCTGAAGCAGCCACTCCATGAACAAATGAGCAGCAGCCACCCCACAACCCACAAGGAGCAGCCATCACCCATGAACATGTGAAGAGCAGCTTCTCCACAACCATGCAAGGAGCAGCTGCCCTGCGAATAGCCACTGCCCACAACTTCCCAAGGAGCGGACATCACCTTCAACCAATGCAACCCACCACCAAACCCATCATTGCAACCACAGACTCACTCCATGTGACTCAACATCTAGATCATTTGGTGAGAGCAAAAATGGGGAGACAGGGGAATACCCCAATGGAAAAGCCAGAAAAGGAACTAAATGAAATAGAGGTATGCAATATATCAGAAAAATAATTCAGAATAAGGATAATAGAGTTCATAAACCAGATGGATGAGAAAAATTAACAATATAAAATAATCTGGAGAAAATAGTTATATAGCTACAATAAAAAAAAAAAAAGGAAACTTTCAACAATAGATGAGAAGAAGCAGAGGACCAAATTAGTGAATGAGAACACAGGAAAGCAAAACACACTCAACTGGAACTGTAATTGAGAGAGAAAAAAAGTAAAAGACAGTAAGAGAACCTGAGGGAGCTTTGGAAAAACATAAAACAAAGCAACATACATATAATAGTGGTTCCACAATAACAAGAAGTGGAACAAGAGTTAGAAAACCTATTTAAAGAAATAGTGTCAGTAAATTTCCTCAATTTGGGGAATGAAAAAGTCACATAAACACAGACAGTCCAAAACAAGATGAACCAAAAAAGCCCCACACCAACTCATGACATAATTACAATGGTAAAGATTAACGACAAAGAAATAATCTTAAAGGCTGCAAGAGAGAGACAGAAAGTTACCTACAAGGGAACTCCCATTAGATTATCAAATGATTTCTCAATAGAAACACATCAGGCCAGAAGATAATAGAATAAAGTATACAAAAGTGATGCAAAGCATGGTACTGAGACCAAGAATATTCTATTCTAGGAAGGTTATCATTCAAAATTGAAGGGGAAATCAAAATATTGACAGACAAAAAAAAGTCTAAGGGAGTTTATCACTACCAAAGCAGCAATGTAAGAAATGCTAAAGGGACTGTTGTAAAAAGAAAGTGGAAAGGGGAGGAAGAAGGAAGATAGGCACAAAAAATTAAAATGGCTACAAACAGGTACCTATCAATAATGACTTTAAATGTAAATGGCTGACGTGTTTCAATCAAAAGACATCAAGTGGATGAATGGATAAGAAAACGAACCATATATCATCTGCCAACAAGAGACCCACCTCAGAACAAGAGATTCATACAGACTGAAAGTGAACAGATGGAAAAAGATCTTACAGGCAAATGGAAATGAAAAAAAAAAAAAGTAGGGCTAGCATCACCTATACCTGACAATATAGACCTCAATGTGAAGGTCATAGGAAGTGACAAGGAAGGCCACTTCATAATACTAAATGGATCAATATAAAAATAGGATATATTTTGGTAAACATATATTCTCCAATTCAGGAGCACCCACATACATAAAACAAAACAAAACAAAACAAAAACAAACAAAACTCCTAGAAGATATCAAGGTATCAAGGGACATATTGACAGGATACAATCATAGCATGAGACTTTAATACTCTACTGACATCACTGGATAAAACCTCTAGATAAAGAAACAGCAATCTTAAAAGACTTATTGGATCAGATGGACTTAATTGACATCTTCAGAACATTTCACACCAAATCCAAGGAATATACATTCTTCTCAATTGTACATGGAATGAGAGACCACATATTGGGTTATAGGCAAAATCTCTCCAAATTCAAAAAGATTGAAATTCTATCAAGTATATTCTCAGATCACAATGGCACAACATTAAAAATCAGCTACAATAAATCAATAAAAAATCCAAACACATGGAGATTGATAGCATGCTATTAAACAATGATTAGGTTAACAAAGAGATCAAAGAAGAAATTAAAAACATCCTGGAAATGAATGACAATGAAAACACAACAATCCAAATCCTATGGGACACAGTGAAATTATTCCTGAGAGGCAAGTTCATAGCATTACAGGCCTACTTCAAACAACAAGAAAAACTGGTAATGAATTATCTAACTCTACAACTTAAATAAGAAAAGCCTAGCATGAGCAGAAGGAAGGAGATAATAGAGATCAGAGCAGAAATAAATGGCATAGAGACAAAACAAATACAAAAGATCAATGAAAACAAGAACTAGTTCTGTGAAAGACAAACAAGAATGATGAACCACTAGTCAGGTTTACCATAAAGTAAAGAGAGAGGACCCAAATAAAATCAGAAATTAAAGAGGCGAAATAACAACAGATTCCACATAAATACAACATATTGTAAAAACTACTATGAACAACTCTACTCCAACAAATTGAACAACCCAGAAGAAATGGACATATTCCTAGAAAAATATGATCTTCTAAAACTCAGTCAAGATGAGTAAAAAAATCACAACAAGCCAATAATTATGGAGGAAATTGAAGAATTCATAAAAAAAAAGTTTACAGCAAACAAAAGCCATGGCCAGATGGCTTCACAGCAGAGTTTTATCAAACATTCAAATAATAACTAAATCTTATTTTCACACACTATTCAAAAAAAGCAATAGGAAAGCACAAATCCAAGCTCTTTCAATAAAGCCAGCATTACTCTAATCCCAAAATCAGATAAAGACACTACAAGGAAACAAAATTATAGGCCAATATCCCTTATGAATATAGATGTTAAAATCCTCAACGAAATTCTAGAAAATCAAAACCAGCATTACATTAGAAAGACAAAGTGGGATTTATTCCAGGGATGCAAGGCTGGTATGATATCTGCAAATCAATAAATGTGGTACATCACAAAAAACAAACAAACAAACAAACAAACAAAAAAAACCCTGAGAGACAAAAATCACATAATCTTATAAATTAATGCAGAAAAGGAATTTGACAAAATCCAACAGCCTTTCTTGATAAAAACTCTCAGCAAAGTAGGAATAGAGGGATTATACCTCAACACAATAAAGCCTTATATGAAGAACTTACAAAAGACATCATACTCAATGTGTAAAAATTAAAATAATTTCCACTAAAAGCAGGAACAAGACAGGGATGCCCACTTTCAACACTCCTGTTCAAAATAGTACTTAAAATGCTAGCCATAGCAATCAAACAAGAATAAAAAATAAAATACATCCAAATTGGAAAAGAAATTGTCATTATTAACAGATGACATAATAATGTACATAAAAACCCCAAATATAGCATCAGAAACCTACTAAACCTAATAAATGAATTCCACAATGTAGCAGGGTACAAAATTAATACCCATAATTATGTTCCCCTTTTATATACCAATAATGAACTCAAAGAAAGAGAAATGAAAAATAAATATAATTTACCATTGCACCAAAAAAAGTAAGATACCTATGCTAGGAAAACTACACGACATTGAAAATAGAAATATAGGAAGACAAACAAATGAAAGAACATACCATGTTTATGGATTGGTAGAATCAACATCATTAAAATGTCCATACTACCCAAAGCAATCTACAGATCTAATGCAATCCTCATTAAAATACTAATGTCATATTTCAAAGATCTAGAACAAACTCTCCAAGAATTCATCTTGATTAAAAAAAAGACCCTGAATAACCACAGCAATCCTGAGAAAGAAGAGCAAAGTTAGAGGGATCACAATACTAGATATCAAACTATATTACCAAGCCACTGTACTCAGTACTGCAGGGTACTCACAGAAGAATAGACATATACCAATGGAACAAAATAGAGAACACAGAAATTGACACAAACCATTTTTGCTCAATTAATATTTGACAAAAGAGGAAAGAGCATACAATGGACTCAAGACAGTCTCTTCAATAAATTGTGCTGGGAAATTTGGCCAGATACATGCAAAAAAAAAAAAAAAAAAAAAAAAAAAAAAAGAAAGAAAGAAACCATATCACCACACACAAACCAAACTCAAAATAGCTAAAGCATTTAAGTGTAATATGGGAAAAAATAAAAATCCTACAAGACTCCAAAATATCAGACATATGTCGTAGCAATATATTTACCAACACAGCTCCTAGAACAATGAAGACAAAGGAGAAAAAAAAATGAGACTACATCAAAATAAAAAGCTTCTGCACAGCAACAGAAACCATCAACAAAACAACAAGAAAGCCCACTGCATGGGAGAACATATTTGCCAATGCTATTTCATATGAGTCTAATCTCCAAAATTCACAGAGAACTCATACAACTTAACAAAAGGAAGATAAATGATCCTATCAAAAAATCAGCAAAGGATCTAAATGGACACTTTTTGAAACAGGATATACAGAAGGCTGAGAAACATATGAAAGCATGCTCAAAGCCACTAAATATCTGAGAGATGCAAATCAAAACTACAATGAGATACCATGTCACACCTGTCAGAATGGATATCATCAACAAATCAACAAAGGACAGACAAGTGCTGGAGAGGGTGTGGAAAAAAAGGAACCCTCATGCAATTGTGGGGGGAATGTAGACTTGTGTAGAAAACATTATGGGATTTCCTCAAAAAGTTAAAAATGTAACTCCCATTTGACCAAGTAATCCCACTTGTAGGACTATATCTCAAGAAACCAGAAACATCAATTAGAAATGATATATGCATCCCTAAGTTCTTGGCAGCACAATTCACCATAGCTAAGATTTGGGAACAACTTAAGTGCCCATCAGCAGATTAATGGATTAAAAAAACTGTAGTACATCTACACAATGGAATACTATGCTGCTATAAGAATAAGGAACTTTTATCATTTACAATAACATGGATGGAACTGGAGGGCATTATGCTAAGTGAAATAAGCAAGTTGGGAAAGATAAATATTACATGATCTCACTCATATGTGGGATATAATGATGAATATAATTTGATGAACAAGAATAGATCCAGAGACAAATGGCAGGAAAGGGAGTGATTAGAGAGCAACTAAAGGATTTGTATGCATGCATATTAGCATAATTAATGAACACAAACACTGGGGTGGTGGGGGCTTCCCAGGGTGGGAATGTATGGGGAGCTGGGCATCAAAGGGGAAAAAAGAGACATGTGTAAACTTTAGACAATAAACACAAACACATAAATGAAAAAATAAAATTAATTAATAAATAAAATCCCTATCCATTGGCTCAGCATACTATGTAGCTGTGAAGTTAAAATTCCTTATAGTTATTTTGTCTTTTGCCAATGATAGTTGTTTAGTAAGTTTCCTATTGGTTTGCTGCTGCTAATCGCAAAATGCCAATCTGTGGTCTAATATATAGATGGCTGTTTGCTTCAAGATCTCTGCCAACTAATTACAAAGAATCTCTTAAATCACACAATTTCTCACAATTCTCTGAGCCATGCTTTTCTATTATTCTTTTTCCTATCCTTACAACCATCCCAATATGGTTTATTTCTTCTTTAAGGAAGCTCACATTGAATCAGAAATCTGTTCCACACTATATCTAAAGAACACCTATTCACTAAGCTATGCCACAAATAGTCTAGGAATGTACTAGGGTATCCTGGTTAAAACTGCATATTAAGGTATGAAGGCTATTTTTTCCTACTATGAAATTTTCAAAAGGCAATTTTCCAGATATCAAAGCTTTCTGATACTATAACATCCTATCTAATAAAGAGGGAATATGCTAATTGACCCTTATGCCATAGTAAAGATGGTGGCACTCACAGCCAATAAGCATGGAATATACCAATTGACTACCATGCCCTCAAAGATGGTGGTGCTCATAGTCACAAAATGGCGGTGCCCAGTCCTCTCAGTCCAGCTGAGGTGGCAGGTGTGCAGCAAGGCCGGGCCTGCTCCCAGGTGAGCCTGACCTTGCTGCTCACCTACCTCTGGAGTCCCCCAGTCCCCTCAGGTCCCCAGGCACACAGGGAATACCTGAGGCACAGGGAAGCCTCAAATGGCAGCTGTCTAGCCACCCAGTGCCAGTCCTGAGTGGCTGCCCATCCTCCCAGGGCTGGCCCGAGGCACAAGCAAGCCTCTGATGTTGGTTTCCCAGCTGCCCGGGGCTGCCTGAGGCTTGCACTGCCATCAGTGGCAGCAGCAGAGGTGTGATGGGGTATCACCTTTCCCTGATCACCAAATCGCCTCCTGCTCCTGAGGGCTCCCATATGTGAGAACAAGCAGCCCAGGCTGAGGGACCCCCCCTCCAATACATTAATTTTTATGCACCAGACCTCCAGTTTTAAAATAAAACCAATTAATGTACAAAGAATAGTTCACCTGATTTACACTTAAGGGAACAAATTTTAAATTCAGTAGAATTGCAACAAATCATATGAACCCTAATTAAACATTTTTAGACATTAAACAATACTCTTTTGTATTATAGGCATGTGTCAGTTACAGTAATATTAGCTGTAGCAGGAGACAAACCAAGAAATCTCACTGTCTTAACACAATTGAAATTTATTTCTCACTTATTCAGAGACCCAGCCTCTGTTACTTAGAATGTATGGTTTTTAAATTTACTTTGGGAATAAACATATAGCCAGCAAATAGGGGAATTGAGAAAGTAGACAGAATAGATTGGGAAGGTTTTATGTGCCAGGCCTGGATGTAACTTACACCATTTCCCTTCACATGCCACTGGCTGGCAATTCATATGGCCACATCTAATTTAAGGAAGGTGTGAAGTGTATTCAGCTATGTGCTGAGAGAAACAAGTTTAATGAGAAATTAGGCTATCTCTGCCACAATGTGTAAATGTTGAGGATAATGAAAGTGGCCTTGTTTACCACAAAATGTTTGCCACAGGTTTAAGAAT